CCAAAATTAGAATCTTTCTATAAGTACATTTTCTATCAATGGCTCCACTGAGAAGAGTAAAAAAAAAAATCATCGACCCTGCTTTTCGTAACATGTCAGCGTTCATTCTTTCCCAAACAGCAGCAACACTGCCAACAACAAAGTTTTCAGCTCTAACAGCATGTGCACTCATATCACAAGAAAAAGAAAACACTGCTGAAGATCTTTTAACTTTGAAAATTGGTCAACACTACCAATTATTATAATCAGTGTGTTCCATTATGACCTAAATTATATTCTTCTGCACAATTGTTGCTGCACATCTAAGATGACTCAAATTAATGTTCTAGATACTAAAAACTGTCCACTTTTGAACCATAACAGCAATACCAAGCCAACTGGCTGGGAAGTACTCACAAGAGATGGCTTCAAATGACTGGGTGAGAGCCTCTGTCTTTAAGCCCCAGGGTGAGAGTTATTTGTCATACACTAACAGCAGCAAGTCAGACCGTGGCAGAAAACATTCATTGTTTTATTTATGCTCTTTGTCCAAAGAAAAATCTTTGTAAGTAGCTGCAAAAACCAGGCACCAAATGGAAATAAAAGATACATTACAGCTCTGGAATATTTTTTGTTTCTGGCACACAGCTTTGATTTTACATTCTCAATGAAGATTGCCCAATTACTGCTCTCCATTCAGTTCAAAGAAACAATCATGTGGCAGTGCTGAGACTATTCCAGACAATACCTTATGAAGAGTTCCCAGAGCTGAGCACCGATTAAAATTCTTGGCTAGAAACAGGGGCCTGTTCTAGGAAAGCTAAGTCAAGTCACCTCTGGGCCAGTGGGAGAGAAAGAATGAACACATTAGTCATTCTAAGAAGACTTCGTAAATATCACATCATGAATCTTCACACTAATCTTCTCAAGTAAACACTGAGGTTTTCCACAATGTAGAAATTCCATGGGAACAAGTATAGATTTGAAATTTCTTTCTAGTCCTATTTACTGTGAAAGATAAATAAGATCCCAGACTTTAACAGTAAAACCAGAACAACTTATTTTTTACTTGCTGGAAAGCATATTAAAGCATTAGTATGTTTATAACTTATTATAAAATCCCATACTTACCTCATGCTTAAATAAAAAGTGCACTGATACAAGAGTTTTACAAGGAATCAGTTTGACTTTAATGCTCACTATTGAAAAGTGGCCATTGTGGAGTGATACAACCACTACCGTTATTTTAGTGCTGAAATTTGAGATTCGAAAAAATTATTTTCTATAATAAAATTGATATGGGAAATTGAGTGAGTCTTTAAGCTAATCATAACATTTTATAAGTATCTTACTCTTGGTTCACATGGCATGGAGAGATGCCGTATGTGAATAAAAGCTGTTCACTTTGAGACAGGAGGGAAGGGGGCAGGGCACAGCCACTCAAGGAATGACAGCAACCAAAATGGTGGAAGATTCACCTTCTAGGTGGCCTTGAGGATTAAGAGGTTTAACTTCTAGTAGATCTTGAGCTTCATTATATATGCTCATTGTAACAGGGTGATCAAATAACATGCCCGCAGGCATCACGACAGCCCTAAGGCTAACGCAAAAGGCCAAAGGATGGGTGGTGGCCCAGTTCCTGGGAATCCCAGCCCCTTCCCCAGGGCAGTTGGATCTATCCCACTGGTAGGCATGTGAAGCTACCGAGACCATAAAAAGTGACACCACCATGCCTAGTGGCCCTTTGTGCTCTCTCTCCCCTTCTGAGACAGCCTGCACTCTATGGGTTGCGTATCTACTTTTAATTTAACCTGAGCACCAAATTCCCACACCTCTTTCCTTGCCTTTCTCTTGCTTTATACTCTATGCAGTGTGTGTCTCTCTAAATAAATCTACCTTAACTCAACGGTGGCTCACACTTGAATTCTTTCCTGCGTGAAGCCAAGGACCCACACTTGGCAGGGCACGTCCCTGGGGCTCAACCGAGACCTGGGACTCGGCCCTCCTCACGCCCCACATCCGTTTTCCTGCATCAACTTTACTTAAATTCTAGAGGGCTTTATGAAGGAGGCATTGACATATAACTGAGGACACGAAGGAAATATACTATTCCTACTCCACAAAACCTTATAATCTAATTGAACAGTGTGCTAATTCAGTTCCTCCAGGAAGCAGGCACCAGAACAGGATTAGATACACAAGATTTATACTTGAGCGGAGTCAGGGGTAGAGAGGAAATGCTAGTGAAGATAAAGAGGAAGCAGAAGTAAAC